ATGGGCCTTTCATATACCGTATTGCGCATGCGCCGGGCTGGCAGCGTACTGCGCATGCGCTCGTCTTGCACCGTACTTCGCATGCGCCGGTCTTGAACCGTCCTGCGCATGCGGCATGCTAGCACGCTTTTGCGCATGCGCCATGATGGCACCGTGCTGCGCCTGCGCAAGGCTGGCACCGTACTGCGCATGCGCTGGACTTGCACCGTAGTGCACATGCGCCAGGCATTCACCGTTCTGCGCATTCGCCAGGCTGGCACAGCACTACACATGCGTCTAGCACGCACCGTAGTGCGCATGCGCCAGATTAGCACCGTAGTGGGCATGCGGCATTCTAGCGCACTTTTGCGCATGCGCCAGTCAGGCACCGTTCTGCGCATGCGCAATGCTGGCACTGTAGTGCGCATGCGGCATGCTTGCACGCTTTTGCGCTTGCGCCAGGCAGGCACTGTACTGCGCATGCGCCTGACCTATACCCTATTGCGCATGCGCCACGTTGGCACCGTACTGCGCGTGCGGAAGGCTGGCACCGTACTGCGCATGCGCTGGGCTGGCACCGTAGTGCACATGCGCCAGGCAGGATCGTATTGCGCATGCGCCAGGCTGTGACCGTTCAACGCATCTGCCAGGCTGTCTCCGTACTGCGCATGCACGCGTCTTGCACCGTCCTGCGCATGGGGCATGCTTGCACCGTAGTGCGCTTGCGCTAGGCTGGCACCGTATTGCGCTTGGGCTAGTCTGGCACCGTATTGCACATGCGCCCGGCACGCACCGTAGTGCGCATGCGCTTGACGTGCACTGTATGGCGCATGCGCCAGGCTGGCATCGTACTAGGCATGTGCCAGGTTGGCTGCATACTGCGCATGTGCTTGTCTGGCACCGTCCTGCACATGCGCCTAGCTTGCACCGTAGTGCGCATGTACCAGGCAGGCACCGTATTGCGCATGCGCTACGCCGTCACCGTACTGCGCATGTGTCTGTCTTGAACCGTTCTGCGCGTGCGGCGTGCGTGCACCCTACTGCGCATGCGCCAGGCTGGCGCCGTACTTCGCATGCGCTTGGTATGCACCGTACTGCGCATGCGCCACGCCGTTAGTGTTTTGCGTATGTGCCTGTCTGTCGCCTTTTTACTGCGCATGCGCTCGTCTTGCACCGTCCTGCGCATGCGGCATGTTGGCACCCTAGTGCGCATGCGCTGGACTGGCACCGTACTGAGCATGCGCAGAGCAGTTACCGTTCTGCTCATGCACCTCGTTGGTACTCTAGTGCGCATGCGCTCGTTTAGCTTCGTACTGCGCATGCGCCAAGCTTGCGCTTTTTTTTTTTTTTTCGCATGCGTGAGGCTGGTACCGTACTGTGCATGCGCAACGCTGTACCCTACTGCGTATGCCCTAGGCTGGCATCGTAGTACGCATGTGCCAGGCAGGCACTCTACTGCGCATGCTTCAGTCTCGATGTCTCACTACGCATGTGACATTTTTGAGACAATAATACGCATGCGCCGGTCCGGGTATTTCACCGCGCATCTTCGAGTCTCACCCCTGCACTACGCACGCGTGAGTTTTGAGGGAGCAAACGCATGCGCCAGTCTCGGCCCTGTCGTAACGTGTAGCACGTTACCGCACTTATATGCGATAAAGTGTACACGTCATTTCGCTTGCACATTTTCGGGTACACACCCACGCATGCGATTTTCTCCACTGCGCATTACGCATGCGACGTACGCAGGGTCCGCTGGAAGCCAAAATAGTTTGTTCCCGGGGCAGGCTCATGTGTTATACCGCCCGAGCAAATAGACAGCGAGAACTCAGAATTGAAAATAAAAAAGTATCAGTGCGTCGGCGGTCTAGGAATTGACTGTTCACCCGCACGCGTGGGCTTCCTAAAAACAATGTTATTATAAGCTTTCTAGCGCAAGCGCACTACTACTTGGAGGATTAAGTATAAGGAAGATCGGCGTATTTGCTGCGCAGAGCAACAAGAACATACGCACACCACTTCCGCGCGCCTGCTCGCATGCGTCCTGCTGCCTGCGACATACTGTCGCAATTCCACCGTTTGGCCACGTGGGGGCACCAGAGACCGCTAAAACAACGACTCTGACCGGATTGACGCGAAGCAGCACCGCAGTCCCTGGTGCTCCGTTCTCTTTTTTTCATGAGAGCAAAGGAAAACCGCAAAGTTACATGGGGCATGAGAGGGGAGAAAATAACATAAATTTTAAAAAGACAAAGAAAACCACGGAAAACTTCTCCACACCCAGCAAGCTTGTGCCAAGTGCTTATGAATATCTGTCAATAAATAAATACATAATAAAAATAAATTGATATTTTGGGTTGTTTTTTTTTTTTTGCCAGTGTCAAAATGTTGGTTTTTTTTTTTAGCGTCAGAAGTGATGAAAAAAGCTGGTATCAATCGGACAGATGCATGCCAAGGATGGTTCAGAACGATTAACAGAGCAACGCAAAACAGCCAAGCTACTTTTAGAAGAAACATAGTAGTAACATCTTCTGTACCTGGCCTCACCACTCTGAAAGTCCATCCCGTTCACCCAATGCCTGTAAATATCCACTGGATTGGTTTTGATATTCAACAACTTGTCATCAGTTCTTTCATTCCCAATTGCTGCAAGGATCTGTCACAGGGCCTTCTGCCACAGGCAGCATGGTTGAACCCTTTTAATAATGGTGGGATTCCCAGTCACACTTTCAAGGATTTGGTTTACTATTGACCCAAAGGAAGAATTAATGTGAAGCATGAAGTACACATAAGTCATCACCATGCATGCTTCTCACCATCACCTTTGGGAGACAGATAATGGAATTATAATAATTTAAAATATATATCTCCATACAGCAGAAACACACAATGCTATATAAGAATAATACAAGAACACTTCTCAAGGAGGCAAGAAACTTTATGACCTCCATCTGGGAAATTCAACACAATCTGCCCACAGGCAACTCTTTGGCAACTATTCTAGATCCAGCTGTACGCTCTGTTTGAGAGTACAACTCAAAAATACAAAGGAAACAAAGGGTGTTCTACATAGGCAGAAGAAAAAGAACAGTATGCTTCTTTCAGTATTTAAAACAAGGAAGTAAGGAATCAACAACAGAAGCCATACCTAGAATACTGCTATGAGAAACATACTGGCATAGAAGAAAGTATCTATGTTTTCCCCGTACTACTGCTCCAAGGAAAAAAAAAAAAGGAAAGCGAAAAAAATAAGCTCCTCCAACATTATGTGTATTTGGTCTAGACAGCAAGTGGCGCAGCTCAGCATCAGAAAGAACTACATTCATAAGCATCAAGCTGCTAGGGCCCAACCAAATGTGTGCCCTATGGACAGACAGAATTGTTAGGTAGGACAGGCAGTAAAAATGTCAAACAAAGCACCTGATTCTCAGCCTCCTGTGTTTTTTTGAAAATCCAGAGGCCTCCGTGTTAGCTCCACCTCTGGCCTGTAAAGCCTGACTTTGCAGTCTGTTGGAAGTTCTTGTAACTAGACAGTAGAGAACTGAGATTGGACTGAATTTTAGGAAGGCATTACATTAGATCAAAAATAGCACCTCCCTGAGCGATGAAGTATGGGCTAAAGAAAGAGAGCTTAATTCCTAAAGAACAAAGTTAATTCTTCTTTTCCAAATTACAGAATGAACTAACGTGACTGACAGCATCCAAAATGTGAAAACATGAATTGTGCAAATTCGTGACTAATTTAACCAAAACGAACAAATGAACTAAGCCTTCCAACATTTAATCTGCTGCTTTCACTGGGTCAATATAGTTTGGTTTGGGTTTTCTTTTCTGGTGTTTTATTTGTTTTTAAAATGCTTCAGATCTTGTCTCCTACAATCATCCTTCCAGGGATACACGCTAAGTAAGTGGAACAGATTATGAACTTACTGTGAGGAAAACCTGTAAGTCTCAGGAAATATTTTCCAGCAAGACAGAGCAAGTAAGACCCAAGGCCAGGAGCTCTTCGCGTTAACTGCCACTGGCCTTAATTCATTCTGTTGGTCTCCCAAAGTACATATCCTACTTACGAAACTGGAACATCTCCACCCTTGTTCCACACCTCCAGCACAACCAAGACCCTCACTGGGTCTTTTCCCGAGACCTACTCAGCACAATCCCACCAATCAGTCCTAGAGCCACATCCCAATCCCATGTCACTTACCACCTTAGTCACAGGATACTTTCTCGTGGGCCCCATGGCCCAGGTATGGCCCCAATCCCTCTCCTTTTTCTCCCTCAGCTTGCAACATCCACAGCTCTCAGGCAGCAAACCGAATGCAGCCCAACCACCATCACTCCCTTCTTCCTCCCATCCCACATCCTGTAGCTACCACTGGCCCTGTGTAGAGCAGCTGTTCCCCCATCACCACTCTTCTCGTCCAAACACATGGCTTCTCCAGAACCATTCCACTGATACAGCCCTTGAGAGCACAATGCCACCACCAGACCCCCACAATATGTAAGACTCCTTCACTCAGTACAGCCACTTGCCAAGTGCAAAGTAAGTCACTAATGCACACAACTCCCAAGAGGTCTGTTGCAGCGCTTGGCACCTCTATACTCTTCCTTCTCCTCAGTGGTCAGGTCTGGTGCAGCATTCTCCCAGCCAGCGGGGAACAGTCACCTCCCGTAGCCATGGGCTGTAGGGCAGAGACAGAGGAAGAAAAAAAATTAAGAATAAGGGAGCAGGATGCAAGAAGATTTAAAAAGGAGACAACCAGATGGGCAGAGGGATATAGCAAGAGTCAATGAGAGAAAGAGAAGGACAGAGAGATTAAGACAGATAAGACAGGGAGAGACAAAAGCTTCAGCACTTGCTGAGGGCTTGCAGACTGTATATACTTTTCGCAAAAAAGGGTTATTCAGAGGTGGCAATCTTACAAAACAGAGCAACAAATCTAGTACCTTTATGGATTTCTAGAAAGCTCACGGCCCACACACAACACTTCAGCATGTATGAAGTAAAGCTCAGGATCAGGTTTTCATTTCCGCATGTTTTAATAAGTTAACAGGTTCAGCCATTACACAGCAATGGAATTCTTCAACATTTACAAAGGTGCAATAACTTCATTCATTTTGTCTGAATTAGGTCATTTTATTTCCATTTCTTAAATAACTACAGAGTTCCTGCTTTTTTCTCTCCAAACAACCTGGAGTTAAAATAAACCACCTAGAAAAAAGGCATTAAAATGCTAGGAGAAAAAAAAGCACGCAAAAGGAAGGGTGCTAATTCAGATTTAGCATACATATTTGGTCCAGTACCTCTACAAGCAAGGAAAGATGGTTCAGAGCAGTCATCATGCTGTGTAGAAAAATCTAAATATCACAAGTACATGAAGGTCTTTTTCAGCAGTTTGACCGCCACTGATACTGTTACTTTCATTACACTCACCATGAACTAGGGGCAGGGAGAGGAAGAACACAGCAAAAGATCCCAGAAGCAAATACCATCCACCCAGCAGTCAAGCATCTTGACAGCTACCCAGTAACAGCTCCTTCTCTATAGGATTAGCAAACATGAACTCAGATCAGCTGTCGTAAGAAGCAGCATCAACTGTAATAAAAGCATTTAAGCACACACATTTCAATATACCCAGTTCAAGAGTAGAAACAGTAGCACACGCCCCTGGCACGCTCACAGCTGTTTGAAGATTTCTTGACACTTCCCCTCCGCTAAACTGTTTTCTGGCTAGCTGAGTAGTCTCTGCTCCTTCTCCCCCACTTCAGCCAAGCACATCTAAAAAGTCATTCTCAACTATTTAAGCATTTTGAAGGTGTAAACTGATGCGGTGGTTAGATTGGTCCTCAAGTCTACCTCTGGAGAGATGTATCAGAGCAAGACATATTTTGTGGATACCACTTAAGGCCTCTCCCAAGCCCTCCAACCGTGTCTGTCCGGTCATTGTGCACTGCAATCAGTTTCACAAATTCAGAGAACGTTCTACTCACAAGCATGTGCAAACACGCAAGCGTGTACCCAATCCTTGCACCCTTGAGTTGGGCAGCCACTGAACCTTCTCTCCAAGTATCAGGCCTCAGTCAACATTTGTCACATTAAAGCCTATAGCAAGCTAAAGCACTGATGGTTTTTGCAGGTCCCTTCGTTCCTGCACGTTTTTCTCACTTTAAGAGGGTACAAAGAGGCAGGCAGATGTCAAGGGCTTTTTCAACAGGGAGATGCTTAAAAGCCTTGCCAAAATGCGAGGAGAGTGCACATCCAGACAGAAACAGTTACAAGCAAATAGCTAGAGAAATCTGTTTTCTTCAATGAAGTGAAAATACATAGAATAGGTAAATTCTACCAACTTTTTTCATCCAATACACCAAGGGAAAAAAAAAAAAGTATACTTTGGCTTCATTTAATAGTCCCTCTTTTTTCTTCTGTAGCCAGCAGCAAAATGTAGCATTTGGAACACAGGCTCACATAAATAGGCAGAACTCTTTCTGAATACCATCTGTGTTCATGTTCACCACACTTCCACTCCTTTTCTCCATGCAATTATTTGGTCGAGGACCAATTTCATTAAGTGCAAATATTGAGGCTACCCTGAGACTGCAACCTAACAAGATCGCTGGAGTCTAAAGAATTAGATGACAGCCTACACTGCACACTGTGGTTGCTCTGTGGCCTGTCACTATAAAATCCGCAGACTCTGAAGTGGCAACAAGCTGAGGGAATGAGTATCCACAAGAACCTAAACACATAAAGCAGATTTAAAACCTTTTCTTTTCTTTTTTTTTTTTTTAAAGTACAAGCAGTGATTAAATACAAGCAGATTTATTTTACACAGAGTTTTATGAAAGAAAACTCCATGAAACTCTGTCTATAGTTTCTGGAGACTGGAGACCTATGTGACCTTCCCTTTCATTCTGAAAAGAATATGATAAAAAGAATCATTTCATAGGCCAATAATCGCATCTCTTTGTGGATCTGCTACTGTACCTGGCTTCAAGTAATCCAGCAGATTCACACAAGCTCACATAACTGGGAAAAGAAAATCAGTCACCTACTACTTGGAGGACAAAAAAACCTTTGCAATAGAGAAAGGAAGCCATGTACAGATATGAAGATTAAGGATGAATGCATTAAATCAAGAATGTACTAAAAAACTCTAAGCGCAGATGACCGACCCATTCTCCTTTACCCTACTGTCCCCCAAATCTTATCTAAATACTCTGAAAAATATTCTGCACTTATAGAGAACATTTTGTAGAAAAACATAGGCTACAATACCAGTTCTGTACTTCAGAACTTCAAGAATAAATGATGTGGCAGAAAGAAAACAAAAGCAGACATATGAGTTAATGTTTCAGGATGTACCCTGTCTGAACTAGAGACTAGCTAGCCAGTAAGCTATCTAGCCAGATGCAAACTCCCACATCCAATTTACTGCCCATGATAAAGAACACCACCAAAAATTCAAGGTTAAAAAACACAATCACCATCATGCACCATGTATGCCATTCACTCTATGGATGACAGTGCAGGATATTCTGAGAAAATTCTTTTGAGACATTACTGTAATTCTTTTGAAAGGTCAAAGGTAAAATACCAAAAACAGTAATTCCACTTCGGAGCTACCTTATCCTGGAGCCTACTAAGCAGGAACAAGTTCATTATGATGCATGGATGTATTCTAGGAATAACCTATTTAACACAGCTAGAAAAACCTCCCTGGTTCCCTGAGGCCAGTGAAGAACTCTGGTTTGTGCTTTACTTCCAGCTCTCCTGTTGTGTCCTTCCTCTGAAGTGGAACAAACTATTCTTGTTTAAAATTAGATAAACGTTTATGACACAAATCTCATTGGCATTTTGCAGAGCAATCCATGCCAACAAGGGCAGTGCTCACTACCCCTCACAGCTGCTCTTACATTAACATTCCAGAAGCACTGGTGGGTGCCCCAGGCACTTGCCCCATGCCAAGATAGCTCACACTGCTCACATAGCTTTAAAGAATACATAAATATTAAATAAGACTTGTAGAAGGTCCAACTGTATATCCGTAGGAAGAGCCAGCAGCCCTTCAGTTCAAAGCCACTGGTAATACAAAGTTTTAGTGATCCCACCAGAGAGGTTCTGCTGTCAAGGCACAACCAGCACACTTCGTTCAAAAAACCCTCAAAATTACCTAGAAAAAAAAAAAAACAAACAAAAATACAACAGCACCAAATAATGTTAATGACAGAGGGACATTGCAAGAGAGAATACAAAAACCAGAACCAAACCTTGAGGGGCTTTGGGAACAACACCTATGAAAAAGTTCCACATGTGATACATCACTGATCCAGAGTAGGAAACCTACGCCAAACCAGAGATTACTAGGGCTTAGTTGCAGACAGCCAACTTCCCAACATGGCGCATCAAATAAATTGATTTTCATTATTCTTACTGAATAGCAAGCTCTGTGACATCTGGAGTGCATCAAGCTGCACAGAAAGCCACACAGGCCTAGCCACAGTACCATGCCGACAAGGAAAGAAATCAAAAAAAAAAAAAAAAAAAAAAAAAAAAAAAAA